CAAAGCCGTTGTATCTAACAGTTCACTGGGAAATTATAGCCACGTCACCAGAAACTGATCCTGAGCCAGATGAGGCAGGAGGAAGACTTAGAATTGCCTTTCTCTGAGGATGGACCAGAGTGACAAACAGGTGTAGCAGACCACCTCACTACCAGTCCTTGGGGAGAGTACACTAATTCCAGAGATGGTACATTGGTTTTCCAAGACATAGTACACAAATGGGGCATCTCCCTAGTCCCAAACCCAGAAGTTCCAAAGAAAGAAAACTGGGAAGGTGGACAGACAGAAAAAGGAGGAAGTGTGGGGTGAGGTTAATACTCCATAAGCCAGGTGTGCTGACATACTCCATCATCTCAGCATTTGGGGGGCAGAGGCAGGAACATGAGAAGGTCAATGATATCTTCAACCCTATAGTAAGTTTGAGACTAGTCGTAGCTACTTAGGAATCCAATCCAGAGTGAGACCTGGTTTTAAAAAACAAAACAAGAATCCAAATAGAATGGAAAAAACAAAAACAAAAACAAGAATAACTGCACTTTGTACACTAAATGCCTCGTTTACCTCCGTGACCTTGAATAAGCTTAGATTTCTCTATCTAACATGCTTGTTCTTTTTAATTTTTAAGACATTATTTATGTCGGGGGCGGGGTGGGAGTAGGCAAGGGCACGCATGTGCTATGGCCTGCTTGTAGTCAGAGAACAACATGTGGAATTGCCTCTTTTGTTCACCTTTATGTGGGTTTTGGGCATCGAACTCAGGTCCTCGGGCTTCACAGCAAGCCCCTTAATCTGCTGAGCCGATTCACTGTCCTTAGGTTTCCCCTTCTGTATTCTGGAGATGAGATTATAGTGCTTGCTCATTTGGGTTAATCAGATCCTGACATTTGCCAGTGGCATTGTTCGTGAGGATGGTAATGCTAGGCTGTGCATTTGTATACTTATGGTCTCTCCCCAAAGAGATGTTCAGGTCAGAGCTTTGAAGTTTTGAGAAAATGATCAGTCTGCATGACTGAGAGAGAAGGAGTTTGTATGACAGCTTTTCTTGAATCCTCTTTGTTTTTAATGACTTTGTTTTTAATGACGTTTAAAAATCTGCCCATCCATAATGATCTTGCACAGAGAACTGACAGGGACTCTGGGAAGGATCTGAGATAGGATTCACAAAACATTTAGAGATAAATAACCTGGGCAGTCAGGATTTGAGAAAATGAAAAAATAATGATTATTAAGAACCCAAGTTTAGCCTTCTAAATATTTTCCTTCCTTTTATGATGATACCGACTTTACCAAGTTTCTAGAATGTTAAAGACTCATTATTTGAACTATGGCAAGAGCAGAGTCCACAGGGGAAGAAGCCCATGGTTGTTTTTCTGATATGAAAAGAAAGTAGTTTGCTTTCAGAATCCACCCATGTGCTGAGAGTTCCTGACAGCCAGGCACTTCTTTCATGTCATGTGAAATCACAGCTTGCCTAATAGGAAACTTGATGAACGTTTTTCTCTGATGTTTCCAGAAACATGGGTGTGATTCCCCTGATCAAAAACCGGAGTTGCCATCTGGTGGAGAGCTATGTCTTTTAAACCTGTTTTGCTCCAAGAACTGAATCGTAAAGAGTTCAAACTGAGTTAAGTTATGAGCGTCTTCAGTACGTTGTGACTGCAGTTGTTTATCCTCTGAAATGTTTAGTGTGGTTCTGTGTCAATGATGCCCATTGCTGAAAGGTCCTGATGAGCCCTTAGATGTTTGTGCCTCACCGAGTCGGTCTCCAAGACTGGAACTTTCTCCTTCCTTGAAAGAGCACTATAAATTGGCACCTAGTCTTGCTTTGACCACCGGGTAGAAAGTAGATGGAAGGGGAGAAAATATCTAACACGTTGTATGAAATAATCAGCGGGCAGTTCATGGTCTTCTTGCAAATATTTGCCAATGTAAAGAAAGTACTGGTCCCAGAGCTGGACCCACCCACCACTCTGGTCCTCTTTGCCAGCAGCAATGGTGGGTGGCTCAACCAAGGTACCCCACCAGCTCCCCAGTGGTAAGGTCACTTCTAGGGGAAAATACTGTGACAGTGTTTGTAGTCTGCTTCTGGCTGGGTTGTTTCTTGATGTGCCTCCAAGAGGAGAGTCAGAAGCAGAGCTAAAAATTATTTTGGAGGTTGTACAGACTAGAGAAAAAAAAATAGGAGCCCAGAAAAAGGTAATTTACCCAAGACCAAACGCCAAACAAATCACAAGACTGAAGCGCCAAGTACTGTTCCTGCGGCTTCAAAGCCCAACGGAAGCTTTAGACAAACTCAGAATCCAGACTCTTCCACAAAACTGTACCGTTCCCTTAGAAATAAAAGGGGTGTTCATGAAGTTCGTATTCAGCGATCCAGTCATTAAAATCCTATTTATGTAATCCGAATTTGTTAAGTATGACAGGGAATAATGAAATTTACTACAATTTGAAATACATTTGCATTCATATAATTTAAAATGTCTCACTTAGGAAGGAGCAGCTTCATGATCTTAAGTAAAACATGTCTTTGTGTATTATAGACTCATTTTGAAATCATTGCTAAGATCGGGGAACATACAGAAAAAAAAAAAAAAGTAAATAACAGCTCTTGCTCTCAACTCACCAGCCGGAAATAGAGCTCCACATCAACACACAAGTGTGCTGCTGTGTGATTTTTAGCTGTGAGTCCATGGGTTTGATTCCTGGGTCAACACAGGGAGGGACATTGGGTTTGGAACAAGCCTAGGGAGATTCCTACAGATAGGGAACTCTCGAGCTGGCTCTTGAAGGAAGGTGACTAAGGACAGAGAGCAGTCACAGTCTGTGACAGCGGGTGGCAGATCTGGGGAGCAAGTGCTTCTATTTGGCTCTCTCCCAGGATTCCCAGTGGATGGGCGGGCAAGGATTAGACTGAAGAGCTGTGTGCCTCGTGATGATCGCGGTTTTGAGTTTTAACAGAAAGCGACGGGAAGAAAGTCTCTTTCTTGTAAAACTGCATTGCTGCAAGCGAAGCAGTCGAGCCAGCTTTGGTGGCACATACCTGTAATCCCAGCCCTCAAGAGTGTTTGGCCTGAGTTCAGTGCCAGCCTAAGCTGTAGAGTGAGTTCCCCCGCCAACCAGAGAGACACAGCAAGATCCTGTCTCAGAAAGGCAGTGGGCGGGGAGTCTGGGAAGATGGTTCGGTCAGTTGAGTACCTGCCGGGCAAGCATGAGGTCAAGGGTTCGGATCTCCGGAGCCCGTGTGAAAATCTGGAGCTGGTGGTACACTTTTGTCATCCCAGTCATTGTGAGCAAGGAGGTGGAGAGAGCGGGGTGGGGCTTTACTGGCCAGCTGGCCCAGGCTATTTGGCCAAGTTCCAAGCCAGAGAGACACTCTCTCAAATAGAAAGTGGACGGTGCCCGATGAAGGACACAGAGACTGTCCACTGATTTCCACACGTATGTCCATGCACGCACTTGTACACACAAGCACACATACAAACAAAACCAAACAATGAACGAATAAGAGAATGAGCGAATAGGTCAGCGTGAATCAAATCAGACATCAGACGACCGTAAAGCTCGAGTTCTTTTTTTTTTTTTTTTTTTTTTT